GGGCGCGCACCGGGCTCCGCTCAGGTAAGGGGGCCCCTCTCCCGCGGCCGCGGGGGCCCAGACCGGAGACCCAGAGACGGAGATCGAAAGACAGACCCTCGCAGAGCACGGAGGCACGGCCGGGGGGAGACAGACACAAAGACGCACAAGAGACGCACGGAACCAGAGACGGACCCCGCAGAGAAAGGGAGAGAGACACGTCTGCAGGGGCAGAGGGACACACAGCCATACAGGAGACCCACACACACACAGAGAGACAGGGAGAAAGACACGCAGAGACACACAGAGAGACAGCCTGGAGAGAAACGAGACATGCAACAGACATTCACAGATGAGCACACAGACACGCACAGATAGAGGTGGGTCTGCAGAGGCCGAGACACACAGACACACACACCTGACCTCAGAGACATCCCCACACAGAGGTCACACCTCGGTGCACAGCCCTGGATGCACAGACCCACGCACGCCGGCCAGGGCCTCCACCAAGTTCCCTCTGTGTGAGCCGGCGCCTCCGCAGGTCTCCTGGGCGGGCAGGCTGGCAGGCTGGGGTCCGGAGGGTGGGGAGGTGGCTAGGCCCCACTGATGCTGGTCACCATCCCCATCTCCCTAGGCCTGGGCTACCTGGGCACACCCACTCACCGAGAGCTTTAGAGGCCGGGCACTGGGTGGGCAGGGCCGCAACATGCCCACCTGTTCTAAGGGGAATGATACAGGCTGCCTGCTCCAGCCGCCCCGCTGCGGCTACACCCCCCTCCAGGTGCCCAGAGCCAGGCCTGAGCATGGGGTATCGGCTCTGTGGAGTACTGGGACCCAGTCCTCTGCCAGGGAGCTGGAGATGTGGGAGGGGGCTCTTTTGTCTCCTCTCTTAGGCATCACCCTGTCCCTTCTCACCGCCCTTTCCTTTACTCTGCACCCTCCACAGGCTCGGGTCTGTAGGTGGACATCTCTGCTGCCCAGGAGTCACTGAGCGTGTGGACAGGACAGCCTCCCCAGAAGACCGGCTCTACCAGAGTCCCGCCTCGGCATGGGCCTTGCCATTGAGTCAGCCCCGCTTCTGGCTCCGCTGTCTGTGCTGGTCTGAGGGAGCTGCCCATCATGGGGGCAGCCATATCCCAAGGCGCCCTCATCGCCATCGTCTGCAACGGCCTGGTAGGCTTCTTGCTACTGCTCCTCTGGGTCATTCTCTGCTGGGCCTGCCACTCCCGCTCTGCCGACATCGACTCGCTCTCTGAATCCAGTCCCAACTCCAGCCCTGGTCCCTGCCCCGAGAAGGCACCCCCGCCCCAGAAACCCAGCCATGAAGGCAGCTACCTACTGCAGCCCTGAAGGCCCCTGGCCTCGCCTGGAGTCTGGGACCTAATCCACCTCACCCAGAGCCTGGAATCAGGATCCCAGGATCCAGCCAGCCTGGGGTCCAGAACTCAGAGTCCAGCCTGTCTGGAGCTGGACCTAGCAACCCAGAGTCTAGCCAGCCTGGCTCTAAGAGGGGCTCTGGTGGCCGTGGGTAAACAGGCCCAGGGTGGGGGTTCATGAGTTGGTGCTAGGGCCTGGGCCATCTGGACTCTGCTCCATCTCAAGGGCCAGGGGCTGGGTCCACTCTCCCCTTAGGCCTAGCGCCTCTAGGCCCTCTCGGTTGGGAAAGCAAACTGGAATCCTTGGCAATAATGGGAGGGCGTCCAGGCTGGGCCCCTCCTCTGGTCCTCCCACTGTTTGCTGGATAATAAACGGAACCATGGTTCTACCCTGAGATTTTCTTCTCTTCCTGAGGGCCCTGCAGTAGCAAAACTGAAGGTGGGGGTGGGTTTCCAGACAGGTTTATTTGTGCAGAGTAGGAGTGGATAATGGTGATTGAGGGCCAAGTCATGGGATGAGGTGCTGGGACCAGGGCTGAGGTGGGGACCTGATCCGGGGTGGGGTCACATATTAGGAGCCAAGGCTGGACTTGGTACCAGGGTCAGGGGCTACAAGCACTGGGTTCAAGAAATAGGACAGGGACCTCAGGTTTTGGGTTTCACTTCCCTCACCAGGTTCAGCAATTTGTCCAATTTTGCGATCTCCACAGCTGGACCCTTCTGCACTTCCTGCCCTTTCTTTTCCTGGAGAGAAGGGAAGTACATGGGGAGGAACGGTGAGGGATGGGCCACCTCTGTCTGGACTCCTTGGGAGTGTGGGAAGGAGAGAGAAAGACATCTTTGTCCTCTGCCTTGAGAGTACAGAGGTAAGCTGGGTCGTACCAAAGGCAGGGGCCCGCCAGGGGAGGGAGACAGGTTTGGGAGCAGGTGCAGGGGTCACACCAGGAGGAATCAGAGCTCCAAATGGTGTCAGCAGCCAGGATGGGGCCAGGAAGGGGGCTGCTGGCCTTGCACTCTCTCCCACCTCACAGCCCAGGCCAGGTCCAGGCAGGCTCTCAGAAGGAAGCCCCAGGGTTGGGGTTCATGAGTTGGTGCTAGGGCCTGGGCCATCTGGACTCTGCCTTGCCCCTCCCCTGCCCAGTCAGATTCCAGATCCTGCCTTCCCCACCCCTACCTGATCCTTCCCCAACTCAAGATAGGCGACACAATGGCCGGCTGACACTTGCAAGAAGCATCCAGATCTGGCTCTGAACCTCACATGGACATAGGGTCTCAATGTTGGGGGCAGTGGGGGAGGGTGTCCACCCACTGGCCCTCGGAGGAACAAGCCTTTAAGCCAGGGGGAGCTGAAAACCTGGGAAGAGGTAGAGCTTCTGACTCTTGGGACCACGCTTCCCATAGGAAGGTCCCTGACTGAGTTCTGACAAGGAGCTAAGAGGTGTGTGTTTTTGAGGGAGAGGGGTGTGAGAAAACCACAGGCGCCCTTCACCTAGTACCCTAAGCCGATGCTTTAGGTCAGATTGGGAGTGGGGTGCTCTTTGGAGCCAGGCCTGCTGTGTCAGACATACCCAGCGTGGGGGGAAGGTGTCAGGAGACCCAGGAGGGCAGTTGGGATATGCCATATTGAATCTAGATGTCCTTCCGCTGCAACTGTTCCCCAGAGAAGCAGATCCTGGGTTTATGACCCCTCGCCCCTCCGACAGAGCACTCTAATGCTTTCGCTGGTAAGCTGAGCCCTGAGAAAAGAGTGGGACACTGGGGTGTGTGTCACTCACAGGCCTCGAGAGGTCCTTGGCAGACCAGCACCAGTCCTGTCCTCCTTTCTGTCCAGAAAGTAGGGTGTGGGCTAGGCTGGGGCTGCCACTTCCTGCCCTCCCTCTGCTCCAAGCCCCTGCCCTCAGCCACCTGTGCTCACTGGCACCTGCCCCGGCCTTCCT